AAAAAACAAAAAAAAAGAAAGAAAGAAAAAAAATTAAGTGACAACATCAGAATTGGCATCCAGATATCATGGTTCCATTTCCAGTGTATTTTTTTGTACAACTTGCTGATAAGAGGTAAGTGACACTTCCAAGGTGACAAATATTAAAATGCATGTATTGTACTCTAAGTTAACAACACATTTCTTTTTGAACTAACCTAACTAGCTGGGGGGAGGGGTGGTGGTGGTTCATGCCTGTCATCCTAGCACTCTGGGAGGTGGAGGCGAGAGGACTACTTGAGCTGAGAGTTCAAGACCAAACTGAACAAGAGCAAGATCCTCTCTCTACTAAAAATAGAAAAACTAACCAGTGTTATGGTAAGTGCCTGTGGACCCAGCTACTTGGGAGGATCTTTTGAACTCAGGAGTTTGAGGTTGCTGTGCGCTATGATGCCAGGTTCCTCTACCCAGAGCAACAGAGTGAGACTATCTCAAAAATAAAAATAAAAATAAATAAATAAACGATCCTAACCAGACTCACTGACATTTCTCAAAGGGATTACTAACAGATTGCATTATCTTACCCTTCCTGGACACAGAACATTCCTGTTTCCCCCTATAGGGTATGTCTACCATCCTAAGATTGGGCTAAACCTAAGTTTAAAATATAGTCATATACATGCCATCTTAAACCAGATTCTCCCAGGACTTTAGTTATTCCCATATTTTTACAAGGAAATGTGAACCTCTGAATCTATCTTCCCCCTTCTTCCCTTAGGCTGGAGGAACTCGTTATGGGTTTAAATAATTCACTGCCTACCCGTATTGGATGAGTTTCTACAGTGTTGGCAGACCATGTGCTAGACTTGTGGAGGGGTTTTTATGTCCCATGACTCCTTTAATTTAACTGCCTGGCTACCTGTGTACAGTTATGGCTTTCCATATCCCTAGATGAATGTGTGCCATCCGCCTCCATCACCTCTGACCATGGTGTTGGTATGTGTGTGATGGCAGATCATTACACATGCAGGGAGTGTGTGGGAGTACGTGATTTCATTGCATTTCCCAGCTGATTTCTTTACACTCTGTATTTTATTATTCCCTATGTCTTTAAAAAGTCTTTTCTTTCTCAAAAAGTTAAAAGGGAGAAGAACGAATGGACCAAAGAAGAGTGAATTCTGTAAACATGAAAAGCCACCCCAAAGAAGGAAAAAAGTGTCTGTGTGCTGAATCATTTCCTTAAAGTTTGCCTTAAAAATTGCCTTCCATTATTTTTAGTCTTGTCTCAGTTTTTGTATGTAATTACTATACTGTTTTAAACATTTCACTTCCCACTATGTATTCTATACTACGCATACCATAATAAATACTGGCTATGATCCTAACTTCGGCTTGATCTAAAATAGAAATACTTACGAATCTGAGCAAGGGAAAAAAGCACACGAACATTCACAAGGCACATTCTTTTCTCATGCCTGCCTCAGCCTATTGCCCTGGGCAGTAAATTGTATGGTAAAATAACCAGTTTATTATTTGTTGTTTTCTTTCACTTTGCTAAGAAAAGCTACATTGCTGGCAAACTGACAGAAAATTTGAAAATGGAATCCAGTATATTGTGCGTATCTGGGGGAATGTGCGCAACAAATAATATTCACATGATTTATATTTCTCTTGTAATTTTTTTCCATTTGGCATCAACAGAAAGGTAACAAATGAGCTTTTTAAACGGAATGAGATGAACAGAGAAAACCAAGAGATTATTCTTGCTCTCTCTTTCCCTTGAAAACATAAACCATCAATGAACAACTAATGAAAAGCACTTTTATTTTTTAAGAGAAAAGCAGATTTATGTTTTGAACTTGTGCTCGGCTAATCTGTTACATATAAAGATGATTATGAAATGTTCATAATTTTTTCTTGCAAAACTGGTCTTAATGGAAGCCCACTCCCTTTTCTCACTCTTGAATTTTTTTACTCTGTGTTTCTGGCCTGGTCTTTTATAAAATATACCGTTCTCACCCACAGCTGAAGACAGCTTTGATGTTCTTAGTACAACATACTGTATGTAATGTTAGCTGTTTCAAGCTGGAGATCAGATTGTGCATATAACAGATGTAATTTGGATTATATAAACACTACAGGAAGAAGGGGAGACAGGGCCCTTCTGTGTGCAAATTTCAGATTGCTAGCTGTATGCCTGGTTAGAATGTTAAACATTCCTAACTAGGCAGTGATGACGTTACTTCTTTAGTGACTGTGACTTCTGAAACTATAAAGACAAAAGTTTGTCAGCTAAGAATAATTTAAAGCTGATGCCAGTCATTAACATATCTAGGTGATTTTCTATTTGCTACTTCGGTAGCTTTAAGGCTATAGGGGGAAAAATTTCATTGTCTTCAAAGCCCAATGTAACTAAGCAATTTCATCAACAATTTGGAAATACAGTTGAGAAAAGCTCAAGATAGAAAATGTGAGATAAATTACAAATTTCATTTCTTATACATTTCACTCATTATAAAGAACTCTGGAATAGGAAACTGTACCAGTCTTTTTCTTTCTTAATGTTTCAGATTAGACCACGGTGTAGTTTTTGTCTTTTGTTCGTGTGTTTCTTTTATCACTAAGGTTGCAGTGGCTTTTTCATCTGCTGTTGAAAGATGGTAACTTTTACACATATCAAGACA